GATAATTACAACATAATAGATATCTGTACATATCTATAAGGATTTGTATAGAAAAATATATACCACTCTGTAAATTATGAAATAATGAAATTTTAACAAATAATGTAAAACTCTGAATTTACCATTGATCGATTTTGTTATATTTATTATCTGAAATCATAAAAATTCAGTTTTCATTAAAAAATTCATAAAGAAGTAAATTTGAACATAATTATATATTTTAAATCATTTATTTTATTTTACCAACTATTTTATTCTTTGATAATCAATGGCAATTTCTCATTTTTTCTTGTTTCTTTTGTTGAATCCATTCTTGTACTCTATGTTGAAGTTCAATATTTGATTTTACCATATCCATAGTAAGAGGAGATCGATTAAAGGGATCGGTTTGATCGCTTAATAAATGCCTAAATAGTATTAGTAATATAATCATACGTTTTTTTTTTATCATATATATCATATATATTTAAAAATGCTCTGAATAAACAAAGAAATTCTAACCTTGCAATAGTCTGACGATCTATAGTTATCTTTGATGATGGAAGAATGACAGGATCTGTCATTAATGTAGACATAATTGGATCAAGAAATTCATCAGGAGCATCAATTAAAATTTCATCTTCTTCTTTTTTATGACTTGCAGCTGCTTCTACATTTTTTGCAAATTGATCTAAATCGCCTAATATACCTACGCCACCGATACGAACTAAAATTTCATAATCATAAAAATTATATATATGAATTGTAATATTATTTTATATTATTTGATATTTTCAAGAGATAAAGATATAAATACTACCAAGAACATTGTCAGCTAATTTGAAAAGTTCTGAACTATATGAACGACCATCTTGCGAAACAGCAAGCGTAAAAGATTCATTTTGACTAAGATTTATATAAATTTCGCATATATTTAATACTAAATTTGCTGGATTAAAAGCATATTCTTTTTGACCATTGACCTAAAAAATTAAAAATTTTATATTAAAACATTTTATATTTACATAAATTTTAAAATTGTATAATTTAAATATAAATATAATTTTATTGTAATTTCTACCTTAAGATTTTTTTTGTTTGGTCCAACCAATTGAAGCAATAAATAATTAAGCATTGAAGCAATACGATCCACCATTGTTGGATGACAAAAAATGGATTTTATTTCTGTAGTTAACATTTTTAATGTGTATATAGTTTTTCTACCTAATATATTATCAAATCGAGCTATCATTCCAAGATGTAAAAGATAATGAGCTTGTTGATCACGTTCATGTTGTGGTAATTTATTCCATTCTCCACTTTCCCTTTTAATAAAATTATTTTTCATTAATTTTATTTACTAAATATACAATTTATAAAAACTTAAAAATTAGAATTATCTATTAATATTACTGAGTAAATTATAAATACCTTGCTTGAATCAACTGTTTTAATTGAGCCATGCTTGAAAGTGCTTCATCTAATAAAAAGACTGCATCATTCATCAAAAGATTTATAAAACGCAAAAATAATGGAGGTTGAGCTGCTTCCATATTAGTTTCTGCTTCTTCAGCTAAAGAACTTTAAAATAGATATTAAATTATATTTTAAATTATTATAAAATATCATTTAATATATTGATATAATATGATAAAATATAATGAAAGTGGTAAATTATTTTTTTTTATAAAATATAAAAGTAATAATAATGAATCAATAACAATAACAGTATATTATCTTTATTCTTTACTTACATAAAATTATTACGATGTTCTGACAATTTCCATAAGTATTCCATAACAACATACATTGGTCGTCGATAATTAAATTTTTGTTCAAATTGTACACTTTGTCCAGTCATTTCAATGCTTACAAATACTTTAAGTAAATTTGGAACAATCTAAATATGTAATACATAACAAAATAAGATTTTTTATGAAGAAAAAAAAAATATTCTATTTTATGAATTTTGATAATTACATACATATTGTCTATATGGATGTGTAATAAATAATTGTTCTCTATGGAATGTCCCTAAACTTGGTGTTACAGGGCTCATAGTTTCATCGCTTGTAGGTAAAAGAGCCTCTAAACCTTCTGCCAGACGGGCACGTAAATGAGGATTATATAAACGTTGTTGAGATTCCATTAATACTATTATCTGATATAATGTATCAATTATTTTATTAAATCTTATTTTTCAATATTATATTATTATTAGCTTACCTCTGTAAGCACAGGTGTAAGAAAAGCTGGTCCTTGTTCTTCAAAAATATTTGGATTTAAACGGCGTAATAAATACAAAAATCGAATAGTATTTTCTACTACGAATTCAGGAATGCATCTATATTGAACAATAATGTTAAATATTAAAAATAATTATTAATATAATATATAATATATAATATAGTTTAGAAAAAGTAAAATACCTCAAAGTATCTGGAACAGTTTCTGGTAAAGGAAACGTTACCACTTTACATTCTTTTGGAATGTAATCATTTTGTTCATTTTCTCCAATGTCATTCAAATATACTTGTACTAACCAAAATGCTGTTGTTGCATGAAATTTTGCTAAAAGTTTTAACATTTCTGGTACTAAAAGACTTGCTCTTAGAGATAAATATCTAAAATTCAAAATATAAATTATTACATAAATATATTATATATTATATAAATATATATAATAATATATTATATTGAACAGAAAAAAAAAAATTTTTTTTATTTTTAGGATTCAAAAATATGTACTTGGTCATTTCTTCTTCCATACGTTGAGTTATCATTTCAAATACTTCTGATCTTCCACCATTTTGAGCATCCTGATATACTCTCTGTATTCTTACCAAATCCTGATTTGTTCTACAAATTTTTAATTTAACTACTTTAACCTTTAATATTCTTATTATTTTTATTATAAATTAATTAAAACACAAATAAAAATTTTACAAACCTTAAAAGTTTGTCTAATACTACTCTATATCCAAGATCTAATGCTCTATGAGTTAAAAAGAAGCATTCTGTAGTAAATCCAAATGTCTTTGCCACTGGTCTAGCACCACCTTCTGATGTTGGTATCAAACAAGTTTCTGAGGTCATTCCTTTTAAATGTATAATTGAATTTATACATTCATCCTGATTAACCCAAACAATTTTTATAAAATATTATATTATTAAAATTTAATAAATAGTCTTAAATATAATTCATAATATAATAAATTAACTTACATCTGCAGCACAATATGTTGGATCAATTTTAGGCACTTTGGAATCATTTTGTTTAATGCAAAATGGTTGACAAAGACGCAATAGCACATTTCCTAAATTTAACATAAAACCATCAGAGACACATAACATTGAGCTAAAACTCACATCATTTTGAGCATTCCAAATTTTTCCCCTATTTGCATTAAAATGAAGACAATTGCCTATCCATTGTAAAGTTAAATGACGAACTTCTGATGAACACTTTAATAATAAATGAAAAACTTTTTGTAATGATTCATTTAATGCATCTAAGACTGTCCAAATATTTCCTTCAACAGTAGCTGAAGTACTTAAAAAAAAAAAAAAATTAAATCAATATTATTTTATAATAATTTTATTCATTTTTTTTTTATAGCTTACTTACCAATTGCAATGGTTTTTCAAAAAAATAAAATGGTTCTTCTATTGTTTTTGGTAAACAACTTAAACTAAAAAGTGCACCTAATAATGTATCTGCATATGCTCGACCTTGATTACTTTTAGGAGTACTATGATTAATTAATAATTTAGCTAAAGGTTCTATTGAAGAAAAAAGATTTAATATAGTAAACCAATATTGACGAAAAAGAACAAGATTACTTTGGGCTGCCTCTTTATAAATTATATCAAGAATAGGATTAAAAGACACAGCTATTGCATCTGTAGCATTTTTCTCATTTTCAGTTTGTAACTCCAATACAATACCATTAATAAATGATAAAAATTCTGATTTAAGTTCAGTTCCATCCATACATAGTGCAATAAATTGATTGTGAATCTATAAAAACTAAGAGAATTAAATTGCATTCTTTAAATTTATTATAATTGATTTTGTCAAATACACATACTTTTTGTTCTTCGAATAATTCTGGTTCCTGCAATGCAACACTTGTATTTTGCAATATAACTTGATTTATTTTACAAAGGATATTAGAAAATTCTGATTTATTTTGATATTTTTGTAATCGACAATAACTTTCAAACAAATAAGGTATTACTTGTTTTTCTATTGTATGAGAATCAGTAAAAATTTGTTGAGAATTTTCAATGGGTATTAATTTGGATTCTAAATCAGATAACATTAATCGTTCAAAAACTGCTTGTTCGATTGAATCAACATTAACGAAAATCAATCTACGTTTTTGATGTTCATTTGCTTCAATTCCATATAATGTTATACCAAGTATATCACCAAGAAGGCAGTTAACCTGATTATCGATTTTAGAATCTTTGGAATCTTGAAAATTTATGGTTCCCGTAATATTGTCAATGTTTTTATCTTCTAGTTGTGCAATATGATTAACTTTATTATTTTCGTTGATAATAGCCTGATTCTGAGACGAGAATGATACGGCATCGTTGATAGTTGAAAACAATCCAGCAAATGGATTGTTATTTACATTATCGCACATGGTTTTTTTGTTAAAACTCAATCACAATTGTTGTAAACATAATTAATCTAAAAATAAATTATTATGATTTAATTTTCAACGTAAATGTATCACAAAAAAGTAAAATATTCTCCTGGTTGCTGCACACTATCCTACATTCGTTCCGTCACACAACGTGCATATATACGCATGCGCAAAAGTGATGGATGAATTGAATTTCTACGAATTATCATTTCTATCGCTATTTTTATTATCGAACTATAAAATAAATTGAATGTTATTATTTTTTATTTTTTTTTTAAATTTTTCAAATCAAAAATAAATCATTAAATCAATGTTAAAATTTCTTTACTATATAAGAGATTTATGCAAATAAAAATCATTATCTTATATGAAACAAATTTATTACAAAATTCAGGCACAAAGTGGATTTGTTTACATATAACAAAATGTACATATACATATACTAAGTCAATAATAAAAGGCACTATTATAATTTACCGCCATGGTTTTCGTACAGTTCCGGCACTAGTACTTCTTTTAATACTTTGATCTATAATATTATATAAAATTATATATGTTATATAAATTATATAAAATTATATAAATTATTAATTACTATATATATAATATATATATTATATATGTATAAATATAATAGTTAATTAAACAGATGCATATACTTGTGCATAATTTTCAAGTTAATTATAGTAATTAATATTATAACTTACACAAAATGTTTGAAGAAATAAGTCTTTCTTTAATATCTGAAGTCCAAGTTTGACATCTAGATCTAGACAAACATGAACGAACAAACGAAGTTGGTTGATATTCTTCCATCCTAACAATAAAGAAAGAAACAATAAATAAATTAAAATATATAAATATAATTAAAAAAATGATAATACTATTACAATATAAAATAAAATGAAAATATGATTAGTTCAGAATTCATTTGCATAAATGTTTCTTAATTATTGAAAATATAAAATATATTTGATATTTTCTAATTGTAAATTTGATATAACTAATTTATCAATAAAGTCATAATATTAAATTTAATACAAATATATAATAGCAAATAATGAAATAATTTATTTTGTTTCAATAACATAACATTCTACATCATAAAAATTTATTGAAATTTCTGTAAAAAAAATGTAAATTTTACTATGCAGAATCATACTCCTTCAATTTTTTCCTGGCTAGAGTCCGCTGAGTTGCAAACGAATACGATCTTGCAGATGTTGGACGCTCTATGCGAGTTTGTTTGATTTCACGATCTTGTGCTATTACTTGCATTCTTTTTTGTGGACTTTGGGCAAATAACTCCACTATATTCATAGAAGCTGCATCACACTTTTACAAATCAAAAAAATTCTAATAATATTTAATAATATTTTTTTTAAATTTCACATTTTAATAATCCATTTTAATTCCATTTATTAATAATATTAAAAAGATAAATCTTATTAATAAAATATCTTTTATTATTAAAATAAATTGTCTGTTTTATTCCATGTTATTATTGGCTAATTATTATAAAATTAATTGATACAAAGAAAATTTATATTATTTTTAAATTTTCATAAATCAAATATGTATAATATAAGAATAAATTTTTAATAAAAAGAAAATAAAAGTTTAATAATTTTTAATTTAATTTAATAGTTTTTAATAATTATTTAATAAATTACCTGTAATTGAAGGCGATGTAAAAAATTAAATTCTGAACGATTAAGAGGCGCATCAACATGAAGTTTAAGCATGCAATGTAAAGCTTCTTTATATGTATTTTTTAAAGCAATTACACGTTCAGTTCGCATCATTCTACGTACTAAATATCCTCTTGTATATGCATTTATTACATTTGCTGCTTTTATCTGTAACATTAAAATAAATTTATTGCTATTAAGAAAATAAAAATATAAAACACTAATTTCTTACATGTTTAGTCTCATATATTGTCCTATCAGGAATTGGTACATGGGTAGTCTTACTATCTAAAGGAATAATTCTCGACTAACGTTTGAACGTTTATTATCTTCAGTTTCTTCTAATTTTTCTTATTTTTTATGTCATTTGATTGTATCTCTACATCTTTTTCTTTCATTTTTTTTATAGAATTATTAATATTGGATGGTTCTGTTTCTGATGATTGAACTATACATGAATATTTAGTAGAACAAGGAGCATTATCATAATTCATTTCAGGATATATATAATTTAATGGGCATGAAACCATTCTCATATTATAATCTTCTGAATATTCTATTTTATCTTCTAAATTATTTTTTACTTTTTTTACATTTTGTATATTATCATTGTTATTTTCAAAAACCTTATTATCATTAGAAATAATTTGATTAAAAGCAGGAGATAAAATATTTTCAGAAAGTAAAGGAACTGAAACTTCTGGAAAGGATTTTTTAATTTCAATCAATAAAAGTAATTGTTGCTTTTCAAATTCCTTTTGAAGTAATGTTTGTTCCCTATGTTGACGAAACATTAATTCAGCCATTTGTTTTTTGTGCATTTCTTGTACTTTTTTGTAAACTGTTAAAAGTTTATCAGATGCAATAGTAGATTTTAATCTAGAGATAGAATTTTTTATATCTGTGTTTCTTGAAAGTTTCTTCATAAAATTATTAGATGTAGAAATATTATTTTGATCATTTAAATTTTCTAAAGAACCTCCAATTTTACATGTTGAATTGAAAGTGCAAGAGCTGTTACATTTATTCCATGTTTGAAGTTTTTTTCTCATTTCATTATTATTATCTATTGTATGCTTTTTATCTTGATTAATTTGTATGTCACTTTGATCAATGTATTCTTTAGCTAACATTGTCTGAATACAATCAGCTGATCTTGTTGATGAATATGTTGCTAAAGAATATTCAGGCTTTGTTTGTAAAGAAACAGACTTACACATTTTACGATCAATATTAGAATAAAAGTTTGCAACAGATTCCTTATTTTTAGTTTCATATTCCCATTCAACTTTAGCTTGTGCAACATTCCATTCTTTTCGTCGATTCACATTAGCACAGGATGTTGGAACATATTCAGAACAAGGAGTACAAGTTGAACTAGCTAATTCCATTTGCATATGAGCTAATAATATAGGACTTGGAGTATCTAATACATAGGAACCTTGACGTACTAATTTAGGAGTGTCTCCTAAATTATCCAAATCATTTTCTTGACATTCATTTTCTTTAAGATTAACATTATTTAGTGTCAATGGAATAATATTTAATGTTTTAGGCACTTGTGGTTTCCAAATTTCTGATACTGTTTCTGTAGTAGATTTTATTAAAGTTGTTATATTTGAATCAATACTAGAAGTTATTGATTCTGATCTTGAAACAGTACTAGGAACTAAATTTATCTGATTTTCAGATTTACATCTCAAGTTTAAATCTTTATCATACTGTAAAGTTTTTTCTAGATTTTCATTAGAATTTTTGAATGTTTGTATTGGAACATCACTTATATTTGTAACAATACATTCATTAAAATTATCATATTTAAAAGAAATCAAATTTTCTTTTGAACTATGATTATATTTTACATCTTTCAATTCTTTTTGAACTTTTCCTATATAGATATTACTATTACATTGTTTATTAATACGTGAAATAGTTAATTTTTTTTTCTATATTTATTGCACTTTCTTTATAATTAGATAATTCTTGTTTAATATCTTTAGTTATCTGAAAAAAATAAATTTAATCATAAAATAAATTTTAAATAATAATAAAATAATAAATATGCATACCATTGGTGGCAAAATAGGAATTCCATTAATCTTGATACATGAAACATATGAATGACCTTCCATATTTTTAACTTTTTAAATAGATCTGCTAAAAATGATAATAAATTTATATTAAAAAAATATTAATGAAAGAAACTTATTATAATAAAATGAAATAAAATATCTTTTTTCATATTAACAAAAGAATATTGTAAAAAAAATAGATTTATTTAATGTTGTAGAAATACAAAAGAAGTAAATAAATTAATAATTAAATAATATTTAATTAAATTATTATAATAATTAGAAAAAATTAATAAAGTATTAAGAATAAACGAGAATTTGTAATTATATATATATATTATTATTATTATTATTATTATTATTATTATTATTATTATTATTATTATTGTTTTCATACATCAACTTTGTATAATACTATATTGTATATCTTATAATGTATTACTTAATTATTACTTAATAATTAAAATGTATATAGCATGCATATATAATTGAAAATACTAATTATGAAATACAATAAAATATAACAATTTTTTCTTATAATATATTTTAATCTCTTAGAAATTGATTTATTTAATAAATTCATTTTATGGATTCATTTTAGATTACTTACTGTTATTTTGTATTTTTCAACATACATTTTCTCCAATAGTAATATAAACATTAGAAAACAATTTTGCTGATTGTATTTTGTATTATTTAAATAGGTAAAAAGTGGTATGCATATTTCCAATTCATTCATTCATATAATTTATTGATGATATTATTGACACAAACTTCCAACAAAAATTTCTTTAATTATTTTGTATTTTTTTTATAGAAATATCAAGTTGATTATTGTTTACTTTAATCATAAATATACAATTCTTTTTATCAAATTAATATAGATGGAGTTGTTGTTTTATCAACATATAGTTTTACATATTAATGTTGGTAGTTCATATTACCATAATTGTTGATTTTGTTACGTTGTCGCATGAATAATTTAACTTTAATAACATTATAACCTATAGCCTGAGCAAACTTCGACGATAAAGAGTTAGAGTGGATTTTTAAAATTGATTGAACAGATATAAATATAAAATGTATATTGTTTAATTAATTCACCATAAATGATCAAATAAAGAGAAAGATTCGAAAGATGCTCTGCTCAAAGAATTTCTAAAATTAATTATTACGAATAGAATCAAATTTTTAATTAAAATATATATGATCTTGAAATGAAAAATCTTTCATGATATATTCTATTTTGTCTCTATTCATGTGCCTTAAAAAAAATCCTAAATTTTAAGAATTATCCTATCTTTTCAATATATATTTTCTCTTTCGTTCTAAACTATATACACGTATGCACCGCGCCATCCTTATGATTTTTTTTTCATTTTTGCTTGCTTAAGAATGAATTAAGACATGAAAAAAAAATCATCAATACACAAAACTTTCAATACACACAATTCAATCCATCATTAGGTTAAAATGACCTAAAAAGATTACAAAAAACAAAATGAGATCGAAAAGCTGAAATTAAAAAATGAGATGGAGAAAAAAAAATTGTTTGAATTCAAATCATTTCAAATTTTATATTCTTTTGAAAGATTTAAATTTTTATTATCGAATAAACGATTGGTTTTTTAAAATTTTAAAATTATGTTCTCTTTTTTCACATGTTTATAAACAAAATGATTCAGTGTTTTACGGATACCAATTTATTATTCCTTTATATTTATTAGGAATAATAAATTTATATTATATTAGGAATTATATAAGAATCTGATTTGATAATAATATAATACTTTAAAATAAATTTAAATTTCCAATCATAATAAACATAGGTACTATCTTCATTGCTGTTTTAAATATATATAAACATATACATAATATAAATTCTTTAGTTAGTTTTTATTTTCTTTACTACTTCTAAATCAATTGTAATATCAATAAGAATCTGCAAATTTAAATAAAAAAAAAAAAAATTTGATCTTGATGGTTTATGATCGAAAAAATTATATGCAAACGTATCTTTATTACATTAATGCTCGAATCCTTCATTAATAAATAATGATAAAAAATAAAATGTTGATATACATGCATATGCAAGAAAAAGAATACACTTTAACTCGTACGAAAATCTTCAAAATTTATGACTTTTAAAATTTAATTAACTAAGATAATTAACTAGATAATTTGAAACAGCTTGACAACTAAAACTATCAATTGGCTAATGTTCCTGATAAAATATTATGTTAAATAAAATATTTTTTTCGAAGTTTTAATTCTTCTTTAATATACTATACATTAAACTCTTCAATAGTTTTCAATACATTCTATCTTTTAAAATATATATATACATAATTGAGAAACAATTTAAATTATATTTCAGATATATATGTCCTTCTAGATTAATATTATATACTAAAATTATATTTACAAATAAAACAAGCAATCAAGCTATGTTAATACAATAGCATAATATTTTTAAACAAATAACACTATTAAGTAATACCAACTTAGTAACTATATAGATAGAACAAAAAGAGTAAATATATACATAAATGTATAGATTAGAAATATAGACTATAGATATGTTTATATTTCTTATGTGTATTTTTAAGTAATCTTTAATTTCTTGTAACAAAGATTATATTATATTTTTATATAAAAATATCTTTTGAATACAAAAATATAATTAATCAATAATATTACATATATAATAAATAGAAAAATGGACGCATATGAACTTTTTCGAAAACTTTCTACTGGTGTAAAATTTGATAAAAAACGTTTTCAGATCGATGCAGAGAAATTCCAGGTATTTTCCAAAAATATTATATTGAAAAATATATATATATATTTTAATATTTTAAATGAATTTTATTAATATGATAATCATTCTGTTTTTTGTATAGCTTATTAAAAAACAACCTAAAAATGTAATTACTGATGAAAAAATTAAAACTTTTGATGATATAAATTCAACAATATGTAAGAAAAGAAAATATGATGATATTGAAGAAGAAACTGAAAATATTAATGAACTAATGTTAATTGATGGAATGTATGTTTCCAAAAATCAAAATAAAAAGTGCAAAGTGTCTTTAACAGAAGAAAAACAATTAAAATTAGCACAAGAAAAGGTTTTAAATTTTTTTTTTTTACTAAAAATTAATTGGTTTCAAAAATAACAATTTTAAAATACTAAATTTTTTCTTAGATTAATCAACATCGTAATCATTATCACATAAATGTCACAGGCAATAGAATACCTAAACCTATTTTAGAATTTACTGAATTATCAACAGATTATGGTATATCTGAAAAGTTAATAAATAATATTATAAATTGTGGTTATCAGTATCCTACTCCAATTCAAATGCAAGCTATACCTGTTATGTTACAAGTAAAATCATTATATATAATATTTATTAAGAATTTTATTTTATCAATACTAGTAAAAAATTATTAATTTCTTTATAATCTTTACTAAAATAGGGCAGGCAAATATTAGCTTGTGCTCCAACAGGATCTGGAAAAACAGCTGCATTTTTATTACCTATAATTCATCATTTAGGAGGACCAGAAAAAAAAGGATTTAGAGCTGTTATATTAAGTCCAACAAGAGAATTAGCAAAACAAACATATAGAGAATGTTTACGTCTTAGTGAGGGATATAATTTTAGAATTCACATTATAAGTAAAATAAATCAAGCATTAAACAAATATGGACCTAAAAGTTCACAAAAATTTGGTTAATATAAAATATGTGAAATATTAAAGTAATGAGAGTATATATAATTATATATAATTTTATTTTTATTACAGATATATTAATTACTACTCCAAAAAGAATAATATATTTATTGAATCAAGATCCACCAGCTATTTCTTTTAACAAGTAATAACTTAAAATTGATATATTAATATAATAATTGTTTAATTATTTACAAATTTTAATGATTCAATTATATTAAAATAATATATAATACATAAAAATTATAACAAATATTTAAATTTTAGTGTTGAATGGCTAATTGTGGATGAAGTAGATAAACTATTTGAAAATGGAATAAGATGCTTCAGAGATCAATTAGAAAAAATTTCAAAATCATGTACAAGTGAAAAATTACATAAGGCAATGTTTAGCGCAACTAATACTCCTATAGTAACCAAATGGTGTCGACGTAATTTGAAAGGTCTTATAACAGTTACTGTTGGACATAGGTTTAAATCATTTTTTTTAAATCTACAAAAAAATTTCATATTACTTCTGCAAACAAATGTTTCTTGACTAAATATTATATTTTTTACAGAAATGCTGCAACTGATTTAGTGGAACAAGAACTTTTGTTTGTTGGGGCAGAAAGAGGAAAACTTGTAGCTCTTAGAAATATTATTCAAAAGGTATTATCTTTATTATTACATTTATGGAATTTATTTTATTATATTATTATGCTTAATTAATAATATAATTCAATAAAGGGAATATTACCACCTGTGCTAGTATTTGTACAAAGCAAAGAAAGAGCACAAGAATTATTTAATGAACTTATATATGATGGAATTAATGTTGATGTTATTCACGCTGATAGAACGCAAACACAGGTATTTTTTTTTTATAATTTATTAATTAGATAATAATTAGATAATAATTTATTAATTATAACAAATAATTTTAATACAATTTTTTCTTTTATAGCGAGACAATGTAGTTCGTTGTTTTCGAGAAGGAAAAATATGGGTCTTAATATGTACAGAATTAATGGCAAGAGGTATTGATTTTAAGGGTATAAATCTTGTTATCAATTATGATTTTCCATTATCTGCTATTTCTTATATTCATAGAATTGGTATGTATTTCTAAATTTAATAAAAAAAGAATTTACATTAATAATATAAAATAATGTTTAAAAATTCTTAACATATATTGTTTAAAATAGGTCGTACTGGTAGAGCTGGGCATAAAGGAAAAGCAATTACTTTTTTTACTGAACAAGATACTACAAATTTAAGAAGGTAAATATTAATTTAAATCTAATGATGTTAAGATATAAATAGCAATATCTTTTAAATATTTTAGTATAGCTAGTATCATGCGAGAATCTGGATGTAATGTTCCTGATTATATGTTAGCTATGAAAAAACATAATAAAAAGGAAAAACGAAAACTTGAACATAAAGCTCCTACTAGAGAAAAGATATCGACTATTCCTACATTTAAACGTGTACATAATAAAGAAAAAATGAGGTATATATTGCTGGATTTATTTCTATAATAACATAAAAACATTATTCATATCATTTTTTATATTTATATTATAGACAAGTTACTATAAATACTTTGGAAAATAAATTAAAGAGTAAACAGATTGAAGATAAGAAAATAAATAAAAAAAAAAAGAAAATAAACAAAAAAATTTTAAAAAAGAAAAGTTAATAAAAAAATAAAAATAAAAATATTGAAAAATCAGTAAAAGTGACTTTATATTTAAAAAAATTAAGATTATTAGAAAAATAATAAAAAGATTAACTATAATAAAAATATAGTATATAAAATCAAAGAAAAGAAAGAACTAAAGAATATATAGAAGTGATAAACAACTTTTTAAAAATATAATATATAAATTTAAGTATAAAAATATAGTATATAAATATGCAATTATAAAAGGACTATAAATCAATAAAAAAATTTATATTATTATATATTATTATACCACATTATATTTGATGTTACAATATGATGAATACAAATAATAACTTTTAATAAAAAATATCACATTTTTATAATATATGTAAACAATATATTAAATTTATACATTGATATGTATTATATATATAAATATAATATTATATGAACACACACATTCTGAGTTAATTGCATTAAATTTTCAATTAATTCATAATTCATTAATTTTCAATTATAGATTATAAATTAAAATAATTGTTTTTTTTTTTAACAAAAACTATTATTATTTATTAAAAGGATTATATTTTAATTATATATTAACTTCTGGTACTATCATTAATTTTATTCAAGTTTTATTTTCTGTATATAAAAATTATTTCATAAAAAAAATTATTTGTATTATAAATTTTAATATAAATGAATTGTTTCAATATCAGTCATGAACAAATTTAAAATTTATTTAAATTATTTAAATTCTTAAAATTTTAATAGTTTTATAATTTTATAGAATTAACAATTATTTGAACATAAAATGTTTATTATTTAGTAATTATATATTTTTTTAAAATATATAATTATTCAATTCAAAATTTTTATAGTATTTTGTGCGTACACGCACATATATAAAAACATATGTATTCGATAATATATAAAAATTTAATATTTTTTTATAGAAATATTGGAAATCTGTCTTTTTCAGAAAATATTATAAATGAATATAAAAAAAATTATTACTAGGTTTCACATAGCCAATCACAAGGTAGTTTTGGCATTTTATTTGCTGGCCATGGAAGATAGCCTGCTGTTTTAAAAATCCAATAATCATATGATACTTTAGCTATAAGACTTATTAAGAGTACAACTTCTGTAGCAATAATATAATAAATATAATCTGTCCAATCACCAGGATAAACACACATCTTTGAAGGTTCTAAATCAATAACTTTTTCTTTTACATTTTCGCAAAATACTTCATCAGAATCTAATATACGAGTTTGTAGCCATACCTAAATTATAATTTTAAAAAATTATATTTCATAAAATAAATACATATTTATCAAATTTAAATTATATTTTAAACATTACCTTTAAATATTTGGCTGTGTTACAATCACAATGTAATTCATTCCCTCCAAGCTTTACTAATCGCGAACTAGTGAAACTCTTATCATGAGTATTAGGGCTTAAAATATATGTAGGAAGCTACACATTTAAAATATGCATAATTTTAAGATACTTGTATTCAAAATATTATCAAAATTTTTTTATATTTACTTACAGATTTAATTTTATTATACCGTAAACTAAGAAAAGCATAATTATCCAAAAATTTGGAACCTTCTAATTTATTTATAGATGATATATTATTGTAGTCAGCATAAAACTCTCTTATATCTTCATAACATGGATTAGTACTTAGATCATCTAATACAGTGATCTGTAACAATCAATGATAAAAATAATAACTAACTAATTAAATAACAACTATTATAACATATATAGTAAAAAGTATAATTTTCGTATATTTATATTATATTTGAAGTATAATTTTTATTAATTTTTAATTTTATTAAAAATTATTATTATTATTAATTATCAATTAAAAATAGGAATTAAAAAATAACAAACGATTAATTTGATTGTTGATGAATAATTAAATTGAAATACTTAATTCTATTTGTTTAGATAATTTAAGATATAAAATTTACGTACGTTATTATATGAAACATTCAGTGCTATAGTATTGCGAGGTAATTTTTCAGGTAATTCGGTAATTTGAATTCCACTACAATCTACATTTACTGCTAAAGTTGGTGGTTTACCTTCAACAATATCCAATCTTCTAAAATTACATTGACATTGCCATGTATCTCCTTTAGGACATTCTGTTTGTAACTGTTAATCCAAAAGAAAACAATTAAATAATAAATATCAATTTAAATTACTACTTAAAGTTTTACCTATATTTCTAAAAACATGATTTTTGTTCTCAAATTATTACCAAACTAAGATATCGAACTTGTTTCAATGGAACTTGTTCTGTCGTATTAAACCAATGCCAAGTTTTACTAGCTGAACATACAGTTTCATTTTCATGATTAAAATTAATTTGCTTTTCTCCTGTTTTATTAATATATTGATAAATATCATGACACCAAAGTGTATTTGTTCCTAAATATAGAAAGTTATATTACATTTTGAAATATTTATAAAATATTAGTATTGAAATAAAATAAAAATTTTTATTTACCTGAAATATCAAGCCAAAATTCGCGACCATTCATTGTATTTAAAGCTGGTAAATGTGTGAGATTATTATAAGATAAATCCAAAGTAGTAAGTTGAGCTAATCTTGTAAGTGAATTATTCTCTACTTCAATAAGAGCATTATTTGAAAGATTCAAACAAACTGTTGGAGTCATCATTCGAAATTGTCCTTTTACTCTATTAATTCTACCATCTGTAATTGCAAGTGATTTTAGTCTTCTCCATCGAATTTCACTTACATTGAATACATCTAATGTTGCATTTCTTATATGTATGTATGATATATTTGATGGAAATCCTGAAATAAAACAAACAAAAATGTTTTTACAAAATTTAAAATAAATTTTTAAATAATTTTTTGCCAAATTTATACTTATCTATAATATAGATAATAGAATATTTCATTTATCATTAATGTAATTAAACAATTTTTTAATATTAACCTGTACAAGAAAGTTCTAATTCAAAATTTTGAATATCCAAATTGCAACAAAGTACAGCATTGCCTTCAGGATTATTATGAGCAAGAATGATTTTTTTACAGGAACATCCAGTTATTTTGACATCAGGACATTCATTAGATTGTTGATAAAAACAATGCTCTAAAAGACCATCAGATATTCCAGTAATTGAAGTTGAAGAAGATGTTTGTTGATCTTCTTCTGTTCTTGCACTAGCTACTCCAGCATATAAACATATCATTATGGCAAACCACTGCATCTGTAAATCCAATTGATCTTTTTCAAAGAATATTAATTAATAATTAATAACTTTATATTTTATACGAGATAATTTTAGTATATTAATATATTTTATTATTTTTCATTTTATGAAAAATAAAAGCAATTTTATGAAACTTTTATTAAATAACTATCTTTTATTAAATTATTATCAAAATCAATTATTTAATATAGTTAAAATTATAATATATAATATAATAAAAATTCAATTTTTTATCTATTAATATAAGTATTAAGATAAATTTCTTAAATAATAAAATAATCAACTAAAAGTAGATATACTATTAAATATTTTTATTAAATTTAAAAAAAAATAATGTATATAAAATACAATTATATATTTTTTTATTATTATACAATTATTACATATTATTATAATTACTCGTAAAATTATAGAAAATTTTCTATTGTTTTGTTAATTTGTTGCTAATTTTGATTTTTTATTTGACAAAAAGTAATCATAATTATTAAAATTAGTAAAATATAGAAATGTTACGTACTTAACGAAATAATTTATTTTAATTTCAAATTTAAGTTATATTAATTTTATGATTTAAATTATATAATTTCATATTGGTAAATTTTTTTTTATCATATTTTATATTTTTATCGTAAAATATTATTTATATAACTATAGTATATTTAATTAGAAATAAAAATAATATAATAAAATATAAAATTTAAATTTCCTCGTTTTTTTTAAATACAAAATTAAAATTAATTAAAATTCATTTTGAATCTGAATTATTATTAATTTTTACAAATTTAATTAAAAACATTATAATATATATATTATTTTAAACAAAATATGTATATATAATATATAATAACTGAAATTAATGAAAAAGGAACTTTCTTTTAATATTATTTCAAATAAGTATTAGTAACATAATATAAATATTAATGAAACTTTAATATATTAGTTTATACAAGCAAATATATATATATATATATATATATATATATATATATATATAATAATACTAATAATTATTTTATTTATT